CTTTCCCCCTTGGTCTCTACAGCAGGTGGCATTGGTGGCACGCCAAGCATTTTTGGTCAGAGTAATTTTGGACAAATGTATGTTACAGCCAATGCTTTTTTACCCCAAACTTGTTTGTTTTATTCTTTTCATTAGGAACAAACTAGGATATACTACCACCTTTGCAAACCCACCTTYCCTGCCTCTTTCTTGTTTCTCAATGCTTCCTTATTCTTGACATGGCAGGTCTGCCAATCAGAGCCCGACACTTGCACTACCACAGTCCATTACRAATCCTTTTGGTACTCTACCAGCAATGCCTCAGATGTCAATTGGTYGTGCTGGGACTGCACCTTCAATTCAATATGGAATTTCTAGCTTGCCAGTAAGTATGATAAAATCAATTGTAGCCACTTATTTCAGGCTGTGCTCAAGTTATTCTGTTTTTACTGGAATCACTCAAGRCTTATTCTATGGCTTCCAAGAAATGGACTCACGTCTAGTACCCAGTTCATATGATTCTTCGTAGCTTACAATTTCTCTCTACAGGTTGTTGACAAACCTGCTCCGATAAGGATATCATYTGTGTTGACTTCTCGACATCTTTCTCAAAGGAGGATTAGGTTGCCTGCAAGGAAATATCACCCGAAAAATGATGGTCCAAAGGTGCATGTAGTTTTTATATTGAACCAAGTTTACCGAATCATGGGTAGCAGATAATGTCTCCAGGAGAAAAGAATTGGCTTTACTGATGTGATTGATTTCTGCAGGTCTCATTTTTCAGTGATGAGGAAGAGACTACCAGCACACCCAAGGCAGATGCTCTTTTCATTCCTAGGGAGAATCCACGGGCATTGGTTATCCGCCCTTTGGAACAATGGCCTGGGAAAGGTTCTATGGAGAAACCAAAAGATGCATCTTCTCCTGCACAAGCTAATGGTATAATTTTCTTGCTGGTATTAAAATTGTGATAAAAGATTATGCAGATCTGGGTACTAATCGGGTGAATGGGCTGCAGTCGCAGTATTTATTTCACCCAAGATTGGGTCTCCCAAGTGTTCGGTATAGTTGTCGGTAGTGATGGCCAAAATCCGGTCCTGGTACGGGCCGGGCCAGAACAGTGATGCTCATAACCGGTCCCGTAGAAAATACTAAGTCCCGGTTAAGGGTACTTGTAACCAGTTACGGTAACTGGTCTCGGTCCCGGGCTGGGCCCAAACCGGTCCTATATTAAAAAACCATTTTCTTTTTATATTTTCTTTAAATTTCTTTTTGATAAATTTTTAAAAATACTTTAATACACTTTAATGTTATTCTAATAATGTTATTAGAATAACATTATCTAATATACTTTAATGTTATTCTAATACACTTTAAAATATCTAATTAGTTCAATCAAATACGCTTAAGAATATGTTTTATTGTAGTTTTATAATTGGTTTTCAATCAAATACACTTAAAATTTACATTTTATTATAGTTTTATAATTGGTTTTCAATCAAATACACTTAAAAAATGTTTTATTGTAAATTTGTAATTTGATTTTCAATCAAATACGCTTAGAAAGCTAGAAATACATTTAAAAATACATATAAAAATACATTTTTTAGAAAGAAAAATCAGGCTGGGCCGGGCCGGCCTTGTTTTTGAATGAAAACCATAACCGGCGGTCTCAAACCTGTCCCAAGCCGGGCCGGTCCTAAGCCGGTCCCGGTCCTCCGTCGGTCCTGGGCTGGGCCGGGCCCATTCGGCCATCTCTAGTTGTCGGACATTACTTTTTCATGGAGGACCTATGATTCATTGACAACCACATATATGATACGGGTCAGGTTCAAATGAGAACCGTAAATATTTTGAGGATCTTGGAACCAACTATTCATGAATGAACCATAATATCATGAATTCAAGAAAATACATGATATTCAAGAATATTTTATGGTTATTCATCATGAATAATTCATGAAGTGTTTGGTTTCTGGGTTCTCTAAATATTCACTGTTCTTATTTGAACTTTTTCCTATCTGGATGTTCAATGTTTGAAATTGTTCTCCATGATGGTAATTTCTTGCACAATAAACTTGGCCTTGACAACGTCGAAAACTGGTAACAAGCAGAAAAACATTTTTATTATTTCCCTTCTCATTATCTTATCATATACGTAGAATGAAATATAAAGACACCACCAAATTCCAATGGGCATTCTAGAGGTGTTTCTTGTATAAATCTTATACCTGAATGCCTTTGCTTGCTTAAAACTTCTCATCATCTTCTGTTATTTGAATTCAGGTGCATATACTGAGTTGGCTTCTACCACTCATCTAAATGGTCCCTCAGTAGATAATGGAAACAGTGAGATCATTTCTTTATAATACACTTCTAACTCTTCCAAATTCCTTGGTTTATGCAAATACCCTTTTTTAACCTCTACTGCCTATAGTTTTAGTTTTTATCAGTTTCATAGCAGCTTTATCAAAATTTAAGTATATTTGTCTACATAAAATAAGGGCTAAATGCATCAAAAATTACATAAAATAGTAAGGGCTGAATGTCGAGTTTTTCGTCCACTGTGTCGTATCTCTTCCTTAAACATCTCGTAAACGGGCAATGATGTCATCAAGTGATATAAGATTGGCAATTTACAGGTCACAGTGGGTGCAAAATAGGAAATTTTGAAACATTGTTAAATTGAGAAGAAAAATGTGGCACTAAACAGGAACTAAACCAAACTTCGTTGCATTTTGATGCATTTTGCTCTTCTGGAAATTGATTGTATATTAGTGGGATGATACTGGGCTGGTTTGGTTTGGTTTGGTTTGGTTATACAAGACAGATTGGAAGAGAGGGAGTGATGAAATTTTTACGTATCTATAAATTGCTGTGTTTTGCTTGTTCATATATCACAGAGGAAGCTTTTATGATAAAATATGCTTAAATTATGCAGGAAATCATTCTGAAAATGGCGTTGTGAAGGAACAAACTACTCCTGTTAAGATAAGCCACAAAGTGAACGGTGTACAGGAGGATCAGTCCGTGCCAAAATCGGATTCTTACATTACTTTAACTGGTCACAGAGCTGGGGAGGCAGCAATTGTTTACGAACACGGAGCTGATATCGAGGCACTTATGCCAAAACTTCGTCATTCAGATTACTACACGGAGCCTCGGATTCAGGAATTGGCAGCCAAAGAGCGCGCCGAACCAGGTTTCTGTCGTCGTGTAAAGGACTTTGTAGTTGGGCGTCATGGTTTTGGAAGCATCAAATTTCTTGGGGAAACAGACGTGAGACGCCTGGAGCTTGAATCTCTTATCCAATTCAATCATCGTGAAGTGATTGTTTACTTGGATGACACCAAAAAACCGCCAGTTGGACAAGGGCTTAACAAGCCGGCCGAAGTGACACTTCTGAACATAAAGTGTTACGACAAAAAAACAGGCCGCCACTTCACCGAGGGACCGAGAATCGAGAAATATAAGGAAATGCTGAAAAAGAAAGCGGAGGACCAAGGTGCGGAATTTGTGTTGTATGATCCGATTAAAGGGGAATGGAAGTTTCGGGTTAACCATTTCAGCGGGTACGGGCTCAAAGATGAAGACGATGATGACGACACTGATACTGGTACGAGTACTGGTACCGAGACAGATGCTGATATCGCAATCGTGCAGGCGGAATGATATAAGTGGTTTGTGGTACGTGGTTATCGGGTTCCGTTGGCCTGCTTCTAAGTGCTGGTTTGTATAGAGTTGGTATTGTGGTATATGTACAACCCAGTGGTTGTGGTAGGCTGCGTACAAACTTCTGTTATTGTGGTTTGACAGCATACGATTAAATGAGTTCTTGTTATTGTTTTTCTTCTTCTGATTTTTGTTATCGGTTGTACGGTCAATCTGAAAACGTTGGTCATGGTTCTAATCGATGGTTATTTTTGCGTCTTTTTTTTATTTTTTTACCGTGATGTAAAAATCATTCAAATGTTGGGTGTTTTTTTTGACAGTTTTTGTCGATGTTGCAATGTTTGCTTTAAAATTGTGTTTTTTTTACTGTCGTGTATTTTAGCGAGTTGGTAGTCGGTGAGAATAAATGAAGTTCAATATTACCATTCATAATATAATTACTGATAAAATGATATCGGATCTTAATATGTTTGGTCTTGGAGTGAAGAAGAAGTTTCACATGCACGCCAAATTGACTTGTTTTTCCATGATGTTGCATTATTTCATATCTAAAACGAACATTTTGTTGTTCATGAGAAGGGAGACATTGTTAGCATAGGAATTGGAGTCTTTTGCCAAACCTGCACCATATGCATGATTACTTTTGATATTTACAGACTCTTTATACAGAGTTGGTTCTAAGATTTTTTATGTCTTGTATGAAAATAATAAAAAATGATCTTAAGCCTATTTTTTTTATGCCAATGAAACAACGAAACATACGATTTTTATAGAGTTTAGAACTTATTCAAGATAAGTGTATCATTCCCATGTTGATCTTTATTAATTATAATAAAAAGAAAAACAATGAGGGGACATAAAAACCAAAACCTTGAATAGGTTCTAAACTCGCTCCTGAATATGTTTATAATGAAAAAACTATTGTTCACAAATGCTTATATTGTGTTCATATGTACACTAGTTGCATATCTCAACATTGGCTCGCTCCTGAATATGTTCATAATGAATGAATTATTGTTCACAAGCTGTTCATATTGTGTTCATACATGTTTTTATTTATTTATTTTCTTTCGTGTAGCAGCTATTCTTATTATGTTCATATTGTGTTCGTAAATGCTTATGCAGTCCAAGTTCATATATATGTCAATTTTTGTTCGTATCTATATACACACCTATATATATATACACACCTATATATATATATATACCTATATATATATACCTATATATATACATATACATATACCTATATATATCTATATAGGGGTGAGTTCAAATAAAAATCACTCAATTTGTAAAAACCGTGAAAACTTCATTCAACCGATCATAATTTTTTGTTCATTTTTTTGTAATTATGAGAGGTTGATTAACCATTTTTATTGTGGAGGGTGTTAATCATGTATATTATCATCTTCATTATTTTAATTTTAGAGAAATGCATGAAACAGTTTCATTAAAATTTCATTAAGTAGTATATGAAACAGTTTCATTAAAATTTCATTAAGTAGTATATGAAACAATTTCATAACCACATATGAAACAACTTCATCAAAAAAAGTACTATATGAAACAATTTCATAACCACATATGAAACAACATCAAAAAAAGTACTATATGAAACAATTTCACAATATTAACAATTTCATGAAAAAATTTCATTAGATTAACGATGAATGAGAGTAGTTTTTACGGTTTTTACAAATTAGAGTGGTTTTCATTTGATCGCTCCCCTATATACCTATATATATATATATATATATATATATATATATATATATATATATATATAGGTGGAGGTTCAAACGAGTACCCCTGCGATTTACGGGAATGCGAGAACAACCTAATAACCTCAAACTTTTTTAATTAATAAATTAACTTATATTAAATATAAATAAATTAATAAGGGCAGTAATGTAATTAAGTAATTTTTATAAATTACATTTTATTTTAATTAGTCATAATTATCCCTTTTTTTCCTGCACGTTTGTCCACTATCTTCTCTCCCTTTGTGATAATTATGTGATTGTGTAACCATAACTTATCGAAACCATGATCAATCAAGTGTAACCATAACCTACCGAAACCATGAGTAATCGTTGTGATAAATGTGTGATTGTCTAACCCTAACCGATCGAAACCACGATCAAATTGAGTGTGCAAGTGATGTTATAATAGTGATATCACATGATTATCACATGATTATCACACTCATATCACACCAAATCGTTTAGTGGATTTSGCCCGTAATCGTTGTGATAAATGTGTGATTGTCTAATCCTAACCTATCGAAACCATGAGTAATCGTTGTGATAAATGTGTGATTATCTAACCCTAACTGATCGAAACCATGATCAAATCGAGTGCTTTGTTATGATAGTGATATCACATGATTATCACACCCATATCACACCAAWTCGGTAGTCGATTTTCTAAGTTAACCCTAGCCGAGCGGAATCCTTGTGATAATTGTGTGATAATCACATGATTATCACACCCAAATCACACCAAATCGTGTTGATATAAGCGATAATGTGATAATTGTGTGATAATCACATGATTATCACACCCAAATCACACCAAATCATGTTGATATAAGCGATAATGTGATAATTGTATGATAATCGCATGATTATCATACCCATATCACACCCAAATCACACCAAATCGTGTTGATATAAGCGATAATGTGATAATTGTGTGATAATCACATGATTATCACATCCATATCACATGATAATCACATGATTAACCGTTTATTAGATAATGATAATCATGATCGTATAATCGTGTTAAAAGATTTTATGATATCATTTTAATATTTTTTGAATCTTTTTAAATTTCAATTTTAATTTTAAAAATCTTTTAATTTTATTTTTTATCACAATATGAGGTTATTGGATTGTTCTTGCGTTTTCATATATATATATATGGGCAGGTTCTTTTGTTAACCCAATAATTGATGTTAACTTTGTGAACCAATCTTGACCCTTGAAAAATCTATGAATGAGATCGATTGTAGCATATTTGCAACTAATTAAAAATGAAAGATATCAAAAGATAGATGAACATGGGTATTTTTGGGAATGATGTTCAAATCAGTTACAAATCGATAATTAATTAATTACATCGGTTACAAATCAGTAATTGTTCATTCCTTTTACAGTTCGTAGAATCATCGTGTTGTATTATGAACTTTATGAATACATATGAAAATATATGTAACTTATTAACTAATCTTAGTTCATGGCTTTCACATATGAACATACGAGAACACTTGTAAACACTTATTTACACATATTAAAACTTATGAACACTAAAGTAATTGACTTTCACATGTGAACACAATAATATATGATCAAATGTTTAGCTTGTAAACACATATTGACCAAATGGTAGATGTATACAGATAATGTTTTATGAACATATTGGAATACATGTGAACAATATATACACCATATGAACATTGGCAACTACATATATGTTGAAGATAGAACATCCAAGTTTCTTATCATATTAAATAACAAATCATTTATGATTTGAAAAAAAAAAGTAAACATATTATTTTTGCTGATTGATGTTTTTGTAACTGTCCATTAATGAATGTGAAGTTAAGACAAAAAAAAAAAAAGATTATCATTGTGTCCTCAATAATCATTATAGAAAAATCTAATCTAACAAAGGCTTGTGATTGGTGTAAATGGTTTGTATAGTTAACATATTTTTCATGGTTAATAAATGATCTTAGCTCTCTCTCTCTCTACATCTACACACACACACACACATGGACAAATTCAAACGAGAACGCTAACTATTTAAAAAACAAGGAAAAAGTTATTAATATACAAAGTCATACATAAGTTGCGGCAAAAGTCGCCCGCTTCCATTTTTTTTACGTTAATGTTAAATCAGATGTGATTTTATCCATGATTAAAATCTTCACAATAAAAATGATTAATCAACCTCTCATAATTACAAAAAAAATGAACAAAATGAAAAGTTATGATCGTACGACGTTTGCACGCCTTTGTACAAATAACATGACTTGCAAAGTAAACCTCCTATATATAGGGTCAATTCAAGGAACAAAAATGGAAAACTGAATAACACTCTTGTAACCATTCATCTAGACAGTACGCATATACAAGTAACTAGAAGCAATTTGTCCGATATACACATGTGCATAACATACACACATGTATCAAAACCAAAAAACATTTCCAATTACTTGCATGCACATATACATACCGTCAAAATAAATGGTTACCCAAGTGTTGCTCGGTTTTTCATTCTTACGAGATTTTCCTATAAACCTCTTCAATTCTATGCCAATTACTCTTCATTTGTAGTGAGAAAAGATAGATAAATCACATCCCATGATTTCAACTCACACACTGCTGATCAAATAAGAAAGCAACCAAAGTCTTAATTTCTACAATCTCTGATCTAACCTAATCTAATCAAAGATGAAAAATTGGGCGTTCTCTAACCCCTAAAGAGATCATCATCACAAATATAACAAGAAATATGCTCATTATTTGAATCAATGACGAACTTAGGAATCGACCACCACAATACGCCCTTACCAAAATCAACGGTTTCATCTGCAATCTATTATGCTTCTGATCGTTTTCCTTTGCATCATGTTTCGGGACCAACTCAGGATTGATCCGCTCAGACCCATCAAAACTTCTCGCAGTGTCTTCTGCATCGTCACAAACCTGCAAATTCCCAGGTTGGAATGGAAGACACGAGAACGGCTAAATCTACCAAAATATTTGTTCATCTCCACGGAAACCGACACTATAAACCATACGAATTAATAAGAAACAAGTTTCTAATTTAATGGAACTCACCTCGGAAACTGTTGAACTTGTTTCATCACCATGGCTGATTGAGACAGACGAAGGTTCAACCTGCAGACGGAGTCTTCTAGCAGCTCTGCCTTGACCCATAACATTTTCCGAACTTGGGTCTGTTTGAGATTGACCTGTTTGAGATTGACGGGTCCGGATCTTAATTTCAGGCCGATCAATTGGGAAGTTTGCAACAGTATGGGGATTAGTCTGGCTTGTCGATTGTTCCCAGTAATTCCCCCGGCTATAGATTGAACCCACATTGGAGCCCGCAGATGAAGCACCCTGATCGTTAATAATATTAACACCTCCATTCTCGGGTAAATTCACTGATGAATAACAAGATCTGGGAGGCACTAGTATCTGAAAGAGATGAATGACATGGCCGATTTAGACAAAATATTAACTTGTACAATTACAAGCGAAGACATAAACACTAAGGGTCTGTTTGTTAGCAGCTTAATGAGCTTAATGGGGATCACAGCTTATTTGGTCAGCTATACATGACTGTTTGTTTGGTAGTGGCTTAATGATGTAGAAAGTGGCTTATTCAGTAAGTTTCTAAGGGAGAGTTTTATACAGAAAGCCAAGTTTTTTTCCGAACTTGCCCCTCCCAATTAAAATACACGCTCATTTTGTCTATGGAAAAACCCTACCAAACAAAAACCTTCCTAACCTATACTGATATTAATCCACACATACAACTTTATCCATACAGAACTTAACAGAAAACCAACCAAACAAACTCTAAGAGCATCTCCAAAAGATTATTCAAAAGAGAGAAAATGAACATTTTGGAGTTTTAAACCTATTTAAATGCCGAAGAGAAAAATGTTTATTTATTTATTTATTTATTGTTTCATACAAAATTTATTGGAAAATTTGTTGCGGTATTAAATAAAACCAAACCCAATAAATCCCACTTGAAAGTAGGCTTTGGGGGGTTAAAATGTAAGCGGACCTGACCTCTATCCCGACAGAATAGAGCGATTGTTTCCGTGAAAACTTGAGATATTAAATCTATTGAATATTTCAATAATAAAATTAATGTTGAAATCTCCAAAATGGAGAAATTGTTGTAGGTGAATGTAAATTTTTGTGGAGATTTAAACTTTTGCTTCTCCATTTTATAAAAATGATAGGAGAATCTGTTGGAGATGCTCTAATGTCGTTGGTCTACTACCCACAAAAGATCCCCGATTCATTACCTGCTTTTGTGCCACATCAATGGCAACTTCGGCATCAGATTTTGTAGTCCTACAGAATGGCAATCCTTGGGGTACGGTCGGGACTGGGCCAGATATGGGTGTCTCACATCCCACTTCAGTGTTTTTCTGATCAAATGTCTCTTTAAAGGAGCACTCGTTGCCATTCTGTAAGAGTGACAACAATTCGGAGAGAGCTATATCTTGTTCAGAAGTGCCATCCTGAAAATCTAGCCCATTGTTATCACTACCAAAATCATTTGCGAAACGTGAATCTAGGTAGGCTCCAAGTTCTGGACAAATCTGCAATATTGGAATTCATGGAAAGAGTTAGAATAGGCCCTCAGTGTATGTGGCTTGCAAACTGGAGTCCATGAGGGTGCATTTGGTTAGAGTGATAATATGGAACAAGACAGAACAAAAACTTGTTGTCTCGCGTTTGGAGCGACAATAGACAGGGATAAGGGACTGAGTAGAACAAAACTGCATTTTGTTGTCTCGCCAAAATAGGTGGAACCAAAATCAGAGAGATGAGACAAGACTGGTAAATTACTAAACGACCCATGTCAAATAAAAAACCAAGGTTCAAAATGGCATGAGGCGAGGCGTGGCGTGGCGTGGCGGCGAGATCAAGCCTCAAGCCTTACATGCCTCGAAGAGGATGGCGGTGTTTTTCAAGGCGTGAAATAAGACGGCAAATTTGTATGTCCTAAATATAATTACATATATACATATATGTTTTCTATATATTATTTAATCAAATAATGATATTCAAAATTCTACATTCATATTAGAAGAAAAATCATAGATATTATTATTATTATAAAAATAGTGTTTCTTTAAATATTCAAAATAGAACTTAGAAGGGTAATTTTACAACTCAATTTTAATCATGGGTTTATGACATGTATAAATTCGTGAAACTGTGAGTGCTTTGATTAGATAAATTATAAAATTGTAAAGTCTGAAGTTAAAGGTGTAAAAAACACAAGCTAAAAAAACTAAAAAAATATTTTTTTGTGTGAAAAGTCACGCCTTATAGAAATGCTATAGGTCTTATTGTAACGGCTGAGGAGGCGTCTTACACCATATCATGCCATGGCGCGCCTTTTTGAACCCTGATAAAAACCCTAAAAACTTCCACAATTCTTTCAATTGCCTACCACACTCTCGTCCGTTCCATTCCGTCTATGTACTAAACTCACCCTCACAGTGGAGGATAAACCTTAACAACAATAGAGCATAATCTGCTGAATACTTGTACTAGCATTTGATGATTAAAAAACGAAAAGGATGTACAAATGGGGAGGATCTAAATCATGAAAGGCAAGCACATAATAGGTTCAGTTTGAAAACTCCCCTGACCTTCTCAGCTGTTTCCTTTGCAGTGGTTTCATCTACATCAGAAATCCTGTTCTCGAAAGGAATAACGGCATTATGGGTCAAGTTATCAGCAGTGTCAGTCGCCCACTTCTCGGTTCCATCTATTTGCACATCCTGCACTGATGGTGCTTGAAGGAAATCAACTGACGGATTGCCGGGAGAGGATTTATGCGTTGTAGGAGATAAACCCGTTGGTTCTGCTTCATCACACTTGGAGGCATCGGTAATTTCATCCGCCTTTCGGAATAAACGACAAAGAACATATGCTGACTGCATGACGTGAACGGAAAAATAAAGATATGCACAAGATACTTATAGAATTAACTAGGGGACATCAGTAGCTGACTTCTTTCAATCAAGGATTTCTTCCTCCCAAATGAAAGATGATAACCAACAGAAACAGAAATTTTAACTTCTAAAGTCAATCTGAAGAGCAGTTTCACAATATACAGTAATCTGTTCTCCGTTTCATAAAAAATTATCCGTTTAGAAAAAAATCCAATCTAGAGCTAGTAGACATATAAAAAAACTCCAAGCGCTATAACGAAGCATTAAAAAGCAGCAAAATTTTCTTTCCGTTCACATAGAAGGTAGAACTAAAGAAGTTCTTTCTACTTTTTGCTTAACAGTCAAAACATTAAACAGGAAAATCAAGGACGAGAACACATTGCTCATAATGTGTTAAATTTGGTGAAGTAAGAGGAGAAATAAGAACAATTATCAACAAAGCCAATTTTTTAAAAAAACCTTCAAGTAAGACGCTATTTCTGCAATCAAAACCACTTCTTTTAAATATATATATACCCTTGTATGCATTTGGGTGAAAGAACGTATCAAGGAAAAAACAAGAAAAATTGAAAACATCCATTGGAAGTTTGGCTCACACATTTTTCTAGAAGTGGGGGGAGAAAGTGGAAAAGTGTGCCCGTGGAGGTGAGCACAGATGATGCAGAATTAACGACTATCTGGTGAGACTGATGGCGAAGCACAATGAAACTAGGGAAGTTTCAGACAGTGGTATAAGGTGAAAACTATGTGTCAAGAACTTGCATTCTAAAAGATGCTTCAGGCAGTACTAGATATAAACAATCTATGAGGAATGCAAGGAAAATTGATAAAATAGAACACTTAACATGATATATTCATAAAATTAAGGGATAAAAAGGAAGTAAGTAAGCATAAAATAAATCCCAATCTTTCTACCGAATCCAACACTCCCAATAACTCCCTCAAGCTCTAGAGTATATGGCATATAGTCCCAGCTTGGATATGAGGTCTTCAAAGTTAGGTTTTGGTAGTTCTTTGGCAAAGATGTATGTGGTTTGTTGTTTACTGCTGATCGGATCTAATTTACACCACTCACTTGTTACCTTCTTAGAGATGAAATGTCAAACAACGTGCTTAGTGCTATCATGGTGAATTGGATTTTTAGTAACGCTAATAGTCGCCTTATTGTCATTCATCATCCTGAGTTGAATATCATTGCTGCAAGTTGGTTCAGTGCTTACTCTCTAAGGTTTGGATCTGTTTGTTAGCAGCTTAATGAGCTTAATGAAACTAGCAGCTTATTTGGTAGCCATACACGACTGTTTAGCAGTGGCTTAATGATACAGGAAGTGACTTATTCAGTAAGTTTCTAGGGGGAGCTTTATGCAAAAAGCCAAGTTTTTTCCGAACTTGCCCCTTCCGTTTAAAAAACACGCTCCTTCCATCTATGAAAAAACTCTTCTAAACAAAAACCGTATCAATCTATATAAACAGATTAATCCACACAGACAGTTTTATCTATACAAGACTTAATAGAAAACCAACCAAACAGCCCCTTACTTCACCTAGATAAGCTAGGGATTGGCTCATTTTCCTAAGGGGAGGGGATTCGATTCCCCATCCCCGCCAGAGAAGAAGACAGGATAAAGGAATAGGGGACGCGGATGGTACTCCATTTTGGCGATACATTTTTGGTCTATTCATAACTGGACCAGCACTCTATTAGCAGATATTCTAACAAATTCCCTAAAGATATATGACAAAGTCGGGCATCATTGATATCTATGCTCCAGCCTCCAGCTTAGGGAGGAGGATTAGCAGATAGTACTAATGATATGTTCCATAAGATGGGGTTTGAGTTTTTACTCTACACCCACAAACCGATGTTTTATATACATGATTTTCCCTTCGTACACATCATTTCAAAACAATACATCTATCAAAGACGTAGATCACAATCAACAAGTCAAAATAATTAGATCAGTTGTAAATTTGAAATCGGTTCCTTAATCTATAGATTCTTGCTTAGATGCTTAGGAGTCTTTTGCGTTGGTTGCTTAATCTAATATGAGGACTCTTTGACAGGTGGTATCACATTCGTGCTATCTTGCAGCTTTAGAGGTTTCACAAGTATGACCTTTAATAATGATATAATTACTTGACCCTCGTGCCATGCGCAAGCCCTTACCTTCTCCCTAACACAAGTTATTCCAGCAACGGCTCTTACTGTACCAGAACTAGGACCATCAACTCCTAGGATCTCCACTACTATAAAAATTAGAATTGTTTTACCCAAAAATCTTCATGCCCACTTCAAGCAACAGATTAACGATGTGGACCAAGGTTTTCTCATGGACACGAGCATTCATGCCCCCATTATATAAAACCAATAGCATATGCTTATTGGCTTCAGAACTGATGTACATCATAGGTATATCAGGTTATATTCATATATAAATAATCCTGAACGAAGATCAGATAATGAACCCCCTCGGGTCACTCAGTATTCATATATGTCTGGCATTCCTGTTCAGTGACCATGATCTTATGATGCATATATAACAGAGGCATTGAATGATGCTTGCAAGAAGGTGATGTTCTTTGATTGTGAGTTCGTGACATGCAAATTTGTTATCACAAATAATGATGAGCCAACAAAACATAGCAACTAAAAGCATAAGGTGAGGGAGGACGATAACAATTACCTGACCAGGGTTGGTGCCATCGAGATCTTTTTCTGTGGCACGATACTCATGCATGATCCAGTGGGTGCGCTCACCCTTGGGAGCTCGACCCCTGTAGAAAACTAGAGTCTTCTTCATGCCAATTATTTGAGCATCTGAACGACCCCTGGACTTTATGGTTCGATCCTTCCCTGTAGCCTTCCAATAACCAGCACTGGTGGCACGATTTGATCGATGCCCATTTGGATACTTCCTATCCCGTGGACAAAAGAAAAACCACTCCGGATCATCTGTCTTTATAACCGATTGATCTACATATTAACAGGAACCATAACATATTAACACTTATAGCACATCACTTTTAAAATTTCTCTCAAAAATATTGATCACCCAAAGACAATTAAGTGGGTACGAGATGCATCACAAGCCCACAAGCTTGTTTTTTCTTGTCATTATTATTTTATTATCTTTTCCCCTTAATTTCAATCACATTTCTTCAAGATGATGGTGAAAGGAACCATCAGTTATAAAATATTCCATAGAAAATAGTGGAGACCGCTGTCTAAAGACCAAACAGGGTGTATGACTATAATATGATTCCATCGAAATCTTTCAAGTGGATAAACTATAAGTACTAAAATTATCATCAAATTAATATTCCATTCCATTTGTAAGCACAAATTCCAGATTCCAGTAGTCAATTTAGGCATTTAAAACCGATTACAAAAAAGTTACGACATCTAAAAACGAAATCGTATCACAGAACACTATATGCTGATGCGCAAGAAGTCACACGCACACGCACACACACATCCATACATACATATATATATATATACACATAGTAGACATATAGAGAGGTCAGAAGGAGAGAAACCGGGGAGGTCCCAAGGCTCCAATTTGCAGACATCGACTTCGGGGATGATATGAACCTCTGAATGGCGGCCGTTGATTTTTTGGCGTAAGTAGTAATTGATGAGCTCCTCGTCCGTCGGTCGGAATCTGAAACCCAGCGGCAGTGCTTCCATCGCTCAATCGATGAAGAAAGGAAAGCAGAAATTGCAGGAAAACCCTAGTAGCAGTCAGTAGCAAAGATGAAAAAGATAACGAAAAGCACTGATCGACTTTTGAAAACCATTGGCTTCTTGTCGAAGTAACCATGGTTGCAAAAACCATACACTAACCCAACCCCAAATATCACCATTAATTTTGTTTTAATTTTTAATCAGAAATTTGAGTTCCTCCCGCATCCTATGTCTTGGATGGAAAAATATGTTTTATGTTCTACGATACTTTATTTTTGATATTCTTTCTGTTTTAAAATAACTGTCTTTATTTTTATCTATACTGTATTATAATGTATTTGACATAAATTCTTAAAAACTATTTTTTAAGCATGAAGTATTATTTATTGATGCATATTACTTAAGATTCAAGATTACAAGTAAATTATGCGTAGGTACAACTTATTAAAGCTTAATGTTTGAATTCATGTAACCAACTGCAGATAAACATGATCAAATAGAGGATTAATATTTTATTTTAAATATAAAAAATCTAAAATATATTTAAGATAATCATTAAGTTCTAACAAATTATTTAATTATTATATTTATAAAAGATTATGTTATTAAACCAAAAATAAAAGAATGAATTAAAATATCACAAAAAAGAGAAATTTTAAATAGTTAGTTTGGTACTAATATTAATAACTTTTTTTTTAATTTTTTATGATATATCTTCGTATTTATATTTTATTCAAAAATAAAAATATTATCGTTTTCTCAAAACCACATAAAACTGTATTATAACATCAATTGAGACAAAAAAAAAATTAAACATTAAAATCACGATGTATTTCGCTGCATTGCACGAGCCACGAATACCCTTCTAGTATTTTAAAAACGTATTTGTACAATTCAGTTTGATAGGGCTGATCATTTGCAGAATTGGACCGAGTCCGACCTAAATTTGTTAATCAAACAAGTCTAATGTAACAAACCCAAAACTTATTTTATGGGCTTGAAGATTTGTCTTTACCCGTCTTATAAATGAGTTGGGTTTGCCTACGGGCCTAAAAAAATACTTTTGCATTCGTAAGAAAACAAAACTTATCTAAAGTTACAGTTATATAAAATAATTCAAAATACATAACAATTTTTAGAACTTAAAATTAGATGTAAATACATAACAACGTACGTAGTTTTAGAAATATGTTTCGAAAAATATGAATCATCAATAAAGGAAATGGCTTAACTGGACATTAAAGTATTCCAGCATATTCTTTAAAAATGGAGAAAATCATGTTCTATTGAGTATCATTATTTCTTTATGTTCCCAAATGATACCCAATGGATGCTCAATAGAACTCGATAATAACTCGTTGGATCTCAAAATTCTATCAACATCTATACTATATTATAAAGCATTTGACAAAAAACTCTTAAAAACGTTTTTTATGCATCAAGTATTGTTTATTGATGCATATTACTTATAATTCAAGATTACAAGTAAATTATGCATAAATATAACTTATTAAAGCCCTATGTTTGAATTCGTGTAACTAACCGCAGATAAACATAATCAAATAGAGGATAAACATCTCATTTTAAAATATAATTAGGACAATTATTGAGTTCTAACAAAATAATTAATGATTATATTTATAAAAAATTATATTATTAAACCAAATATAAATTAATTCATTTTTAAATTTTAATTAAATTATAATAAAAATTTGAATCAAAGAAATTACATAAAAACGAGAATTTTTAAATAGTTAATTTAATACTAATCATTTATTTTTTTCAAAATTTTATGATAGTTTCAAATTTAAATTTCATTCAAAAATAAAAATATTTTCTTTTTCTCAGAACCACATAGCATCATAATATTGATAGACCCAAAATATAAAACGAAATATTAAAATCAAGATGTATCTCGCTGCATTACGCGAATACCCTTGTAGTGTATATCTAAAAAAGATAAGCAACTTAAAGAAAGTCTCGATTTAAGTTAGAAGTGAAAAGATATATATGACCTCACAATAATTATACGATAGTTCTGATCATCGTATAATAATCATAACGTCATAAACTTTTCACTTGTAATTTCGATCGAAATAATTATTTTTAAATTGCTTTTTTTTTTTCAGATGTCGCAAAATTTAAAAATTCATCAAATAACCATCAAGTTGTTTTCGGTTTCTATTGAATAATTAGATTGGCATTTTGTGGTCTTTACCAACCCACTCGGATCTACTTTCGGTAGAACAAATTTAATTTGATTTCTCTTGTCTTTTTATCGTCTATCCCAATATTAATCATTAGGCACGTAATTTAATTTGTTTGATGTTTTCTTAACTGGTTTTTTTATATCAGTATATAATTTATAGCAGTTTATGCTTTCTAAACGTCGAACATCTATCGTATTAAAGTGAAATATTTCTAGAAACTCGAGTCATCATGGGATAAAGTAGTTACAAAATGGGAACATCCAAATATCAAGAGAGGTTGAATTGATATTATTGATAAGTTGTCTTGTTATGGAGAAAATCATCTTTAAGATGACGTTTGTTTTTTAAGATGTGTTGAAGTCTGAATTCACTTCTGATTTATAAGAGGTGGTCCTGAAGTCTGAAATTTGGATCAGTAAAGTTGTTTGTTTTTATGTTTGAATTGTAAAATCTGAATCGGTCAAACTAGTGCAAAAATATAAAAGATAAATAGTTTTTTTTTACCAAATTATAAAAGATAAACAGTTTTTGCTAAATGAATCTCTTCCAGCCCCAAAAATAAGAACCATTTAATAGACACCGAATTAGGATTAAAACGTATTAAGGGATCAGGGTCGTCCCTTAGCATGTTAATATGAGATTTTGAACAGGGCCCCCGAAATTTTTGGGGCCCAAATTTACATGTGTTTAGGGTCTTTTATCAACCTGTGTAAAATTATAGCCGAAATTATTTGGGTTCAAACATTAATTGTTTGGTTTTAGGTTCAAATCATTAATGGTTTAGGTTTAGTTTCGGATTGTTAATCGTTTTAGTTTTAGTCCATTTTTGTTCTTAACATATATTTTCTGTTATCTCATTTATGCAATGTAACCAAAAGCATTGGATATAACAGAGCCTCCAAAAAGATTGGAACGTCTTTGTAAGGGATACGTTTACCACTTAAAACTTCAGAGGACATTTAGAACTTTTAAGCTCTTATTTTAGAAATAAAACAAATGCAATTAATACCCAAAAGTCTGGATGAATCAGACTTCAGATATATTAAAAGGTAATTTTTAAAAAATAAACAGACCCTAAGTATATATATAAAGTATGGAGAAAAATGTGAAGACTTTGGTATAAAGTTGGTTGATGAATCAAACAAAACATGATGGTTGTTTTGTATACAAAGGAATATTGATCAATACGTATACAAGGTTGAAAGTATATACCAAGAAATTTATGCAATTAAGGAGCCGTTTACTAAACACTTACTTGGTAATTAGGTGCTTACCGGATAAATTTCTTCATCGGATGAACATGAGAAGCGCAAAAAATCTTACCGAGTAAGAGCGATGAGAAAGATGGAGAAGCTTACCAAGTAAATGAGGATAACGATTCTTACCCAGGTAAGCGCTTACCCAGTAACTTGTTGCATTCAATATGTTTTGATATACTAAAATCTTACGCATCAATATAAATTATAGTGTTAACTTCTATCTCTAAGCACTTATCGGGTAAGCATTTGAGTAAACGAAGTATAAATCTTATACATGCATGTAGCTATTGATATAATGAATTGATTGTTTTTAGGCATGGCCCCATATATATCTTTTTTTAGGCATGGCCCCATATATATCTTTCTTTTTCATAGAATTGCATCATGACACATCGTAAATTTGTCAAAGGGTCGATAAACGTGTAAATCCTTAAAAGATAACGAGTCTACCAGTGTAGCATTCGGGAAATAAGAGAAAACTCTTGTAAACTAGAGATAAAACTCTAAAAACGTTTTATTAATCAATCATAAACTTAATAATAATGAAAAAATTAAACACTATTTATAATCTAAACTAGATCAAAGATAATTATAGAATCTAAATTCAGATCTAATTTTAATCATGAACCAACTATTAAACTGATAAAATAATTAACTAACTAAGAATAGACTACTGATAATCCTAATCTAATTAAGAAACCAAATAATTTAATAAGTAAATAAATGCAATCGGCTCAGTAATTCTTGGGACATGTGCACGACCTGGCACGGGACCCAGGTCGCAGAAGAAGTCTCGTAATATACTGTTTTCCTGTTTTCAATGCCAACTTTCGGCCTTCTTTTGAGCTCGTTTTCTTCTTTTCTAAAGATTTGTTGAAAATCTCATTAACTCTCTAATTCTCTTTGTATCATACACCCTCACTTTAAAAGAACTCGCCCTTGAGTTCATTTGAAAATCAACATCATCTAATCTTCGATGCAACGCCGAATCATATGACATCCTTGTCTTCAATGCATGTGGATCCACAACTCGGTTTTCAAAATTCGAAAAGGCTGACCAATCTTCAAGTCCTAAAGGATGTTTTCGTGGTTGCCTTCATACAAGTGAGACTTTGTCAAACTCGAAAGAATAAAAGGTTACAAGAACTTTACCGAGAATTTTCTCGATCTGATTCAAAGTCTTGGTTGCTGCAATAATGAAAGCATCATCTTTGGGATCACCTTTCTTGACTTCTAACAAGGGTTGTGGCGGCTCAGGAATGTCATCAACAGATTCACTTTCGGGTGCTCTGATTGTTGGCTCAAAATCTGTTGCCGATTCTTTGGGATCGGTAGGGATTTCTTCTTGTGATTTTATTACGACGGGAAGGCCTTTATTTTCAACCTTTTCAGGCAAGATTACGACTTTTTTCAGTGTCTTCTCACGAATAGACTGTCGGTTGCTTTGAAAAGAAACTGAATGCATAATATGGTTATAGTTGTCGTCGTACGAAACCTTGACGGGTTCTTTGTGCCTGTCCCTTCTCCAACAATTGCTCTTGTCGGAGTTGGGAAAACATTTGTTAACAAACATGAAACGTATGATTGCATATTCATCCATAGCTCAAAATTTCTTGCTTGGGAATTTCCTTCCATTCAAACTAAAAAAATAGGGACGATGCTTCCAAGAGGAACAAAGACTTACATGGTGCTGTGCTACTTTTAGATTAGCAAGAGCCACGGTTATGACTGCATTCATCTCTGCTAAG